GCCTGGTGCTTTAGGGTCCCTGGTTTGCTTTCACTTGCATTATCTTGGGTTTGTCCCCTCATCTGGGAGAGCCTTCCTTGGATTTGCCCCCAGAAAGCTGTCTGTCCTTCAGGTGGTCTGGTTGCTGAGGCTTGTCCCACACTTGACATAAAATGCTTTTCTTTGCGCCTAATTGTATACTTTTCCTTAAATGTGCTTGGCATTGTATGTTTAGCACCTTTATGCGATTTTTTTGGAATATCACTAGGTACCCAGAGACTTGGCATCTTTTCAGAAAGTGCCTCAGTCTTAGAGTAGGTGGTGAATAGACAGTTAATGGCATGTAAAGAATGTTGCAAGCTCGACTTGTAAAACTATTTCAGAAGTTAAGGTAGCTTGTGTCTGAGTCAAAGGGAAATGGCGATGTCCTCAAGATGATACTTGACTTGCTAGGTCCCTTGCTGCTGACCTTTTGTCTTCATGCCTGACATGAAGACAGCCTAAGCTGTCTCCCAATCTCACATTTTCTCTCTCTGGATTTTTTTTTTTTTTTTTGAGACAGGGTTTTGCTGTGTTGCCCAGCCTGGCCTTGAATTCCTGGGCTCAAATGCCTAGCCTTCCAATAGCTAGGACTATAGGCATGCACCACTGTGCCCAGTACTCACATTCTCTTTTTCTCATCAGTTCTTCCACTCCCCACCAGATTCATCTTTCTACAGTAACCTCTGGTCATGTCAGTCCCTTGATCAAAATCTTTCCTGGCATCCTGTTGTTTACTACCCAAGCTGAGTGAAGTGGTTACCTGGCTGGCTCTGTCTCTTTCATTGTCGCCTCTGCGAGTGGGCCTGTGTGTTGCGGCCCTTGTTCTTGAATGTGTCCCGAGCTTTCCTCTCAATGCCTTGCATTTCAAATTGCCCTTCTGCTGGAATACATGTCTGTACCTCCACATTCCTGACACCCATCTTTGCTTTCTACCCTTCCCACCTGCAGCCAAACTTTTAGTTCTTTCCATTAAGTGTTTCCTGGTTCCACCAGTGTGTCCCTTTGAACCAGAGCACTCTGTCCCCTATTGCCTTATATATAAAACATGTAAAATATTTATTGCACTGAAATTCTTCTAGATCATAGTACTTTGGGATAGCATGGTGAGGGGGATGTTAGTGTGGCCAGGAAAATACTTGGCTTTTTGAGAGCGAGAACTTTCTATGATTGTAGCAACTATTCACAAGCAGACATGTGTGTGTCTTAGGTCTATTCCAAATAGTTGGGACAGTCCAGACTCTCAAAATAATTTTACCTTGCCTGTGCTCTCCCTGGAGGCCAGGTGGGAGGAAGGATGTGGGGCAAGGTGATGACACCCTCTAACTCCTTCCAGCCTGGCTTGTAACTGCCCTGGGTACATTGTTTGGAGAATGCTGGAGAAGAGAACATTACAGCCTGACTGTAGACTTTTAGGGATCTGTTATATTTAAATATATAAAATATATTTTGGTATTACTTAAATAACTGGAACTTTGGGGAGAACAGTAAAAGTTGAATTGCCCAGCAGAAACAACTGTATGTGAGTCCTTACTTAAATTTGTTCCACGTTATTTCTTCAATATTTTTTTTCCTCTTTGGAAGTTGTAGCATGGACCTCGATCCTGCATTTAAGTGCTGGGTGGGAAGCAGAGTTTTAAAGGACTATAGTAGTATTTCTAAACAGGCCAACCGCCTTCATGTGCAAGAATTTTAGGTTTCAATTTAGCAAACATTTGATTTTCTGCTCTTTATGGGGCTGACTGTAAGCATTTGGGAAATTATTAAATTATTGCTTAGTTCTGTACATATTGGCATATTGAGTTTTTTGTTACTGTGGATGTTTTTGTGGGACGGTGACAAAAACATGGATGGGCATTGGGACCTTCAGGAATATTCCAGAATCTGGCTATGGTGTGTTGTATTTTACTTTTACTAGGAAATTTTCATGGCTGCCTTTTCATGGCGTGTCCACTGCAGAAATGTTGCAGTGCCTGTCAATAAATGTCACCCTCATCCTAGGAATTCAATGAACACATAATGTGTAGTTTTGAAGTTTTGATGTTATTAGGTTTAAATCTCTAAGGCACACATAAACTCGCTTGTGGTATTAAATGTGCCGTGTGGGTGATTTCAAGTTCCAGTGGCAGTAGTAATTTTTGCATTTCCTGACTCTTGTGTTTAAATTTGCAGTCTCAACATTGCATCACCATAAGTTTTCACATTTAATGAATATTTATGTTGAGCCGAGTTCTATACGAATGCAGTGGTTTCTGACTTGATTATAGCTTTCTGTGTACTGTGGCCAGGAGTGCCCTATAGACAACAGAGTTGGCACACGTCTCAGCATGCCAAGCCCCGGAGGATGTGGTTAGGGACCACAGTGACTGGTGCTTTGGTTGCCATGCCAACCTTGTTTTTGGAAGGGGGAAGCTCTAAAACAGCAGTGGGATGGGGGGCAGAATGGTTTTGAATATTCCAAGTAAAATTATTTCCTATATGTTCCCCACAGGAAGATGCTGTAAGAACTCTAAAAGTCTTACTGTGTGCTCAGATAATGAATTTTCTTTTCCCTCTAACTTAGTTTTGCAAAGCTGTTTTAATTGTTCTCTTACAAACTTAGGAAAGTTAGGTGGTGGCCCTTCTATATGTGACTGTCTTCCCTACCTCAAGGGTAAATAGGGAATCTTCTGTCTCTTAATATTACAAACCTCCTTCCAACCCCTGCCAACCTCCTGTACCCTCTGGTAATTCCCACCTAGTGGTGGCTGATTGGGGGAGGGAGAAGGGAAAAAAAACAGGAGGAAGGATGGGTGGGGGCCTCTCCCACCTCCAACTCCTTATCTTCATTCTCCTCTTTCCCCTATCCCAAGAAGGCCTTTCCTCACCTCTCCCTATTCTTGTATATCTGCAGAGACCATGATTGAGGGTGCGTGCCATCACCCATAAGTGGGATCTTAGGATACCCTGCTCTCAAGTTCTGGCAGACAGAGCTGGGATAAGAGGGAGTGATGTCCCTGGCATCCCACACTAGCATGCTGTGTACCCCTTTGCAAATGGTGCCCTGTGTGATTAATTCTGTGGTGCTTGGTGTCATGCTGGGAAATGTCTAGATGGGAATTGATCAGGCCTAATAAGCCAGATGGGAGCCCAGAATAGCAGAGTGGGATGGGACTCATAGGCGCCATCTGCAGTTCTAGCACCTCTTTAAAGACGACCTGAGTTGCTGGAGGCTGCCATCTGTCCAGGTTCAACAGCCCAGGCTGTCTGGTGTTATGGAGGGCTTGTCCTCAAGCCTCATCACACAAAAAAGCAAAGCCCCACCCCTTTAAATGGAAACTTACTCTTTCAGTAAGTAAGTAAGTTGACTTGGAGTCAACTCTGACACCATTGGATTGTAGCCTCCTTCAGGGCAAGGCTGGCATCTCAGTCTTTAACGTTTTCCCACTAAAACCCAGAGCATCTCTTCGTGTGAATTAGGAAAAGCTGTCCCCTCTTCAAGATACCTGACTTGTGTTTGCTGTAAATTGGTCCTAATGTGAATCTAGGATGAGCACAGAAGTGAACTCCCCCTGGAGTTGTTTGGTGCAAGAGGCAGGTGCAAGAGGAGTTGTTCTCCTTCAGTGCTTCTCTCTCAGCAATTGTGATTTGTTGCTTCTGATTTCTATAGTTCATTTTCAGAAAACTAGGGAACCATGTTTATTAGAATTCTGTGTAAAGTTAGGGAAGAGAGATACCAAGGGGGAAGCGAGTATGTGCATTGGTCTGGCTGCTCTTTGGGCTAGCTCTTCTTTAGAGATGGGTTGACTGGAGCATGGGGTCTTCAAACCTGGATTCCTACCAAAATGGGTAGGCCTTTTGTAGAGCAGAAATGGCACCACCATTTTATAGGAGAAAATAAACGTGTTCTTAATCACCAACTCTTAGGTTAACTTTTGGACTATACCCTGATTTGGGTATAAGTTCTCTTTAGTTCTTTTAACTACAACCTTTAGCCAGCCGTATTTGAGGGGAGTTGGGAGGATACATTTTGTCATCAAAACATTGGCATGGCTGTTAGGAGCAATGATTTTCAACTTCACTGTGCAGGTTCTTTAAAGCATGTTGTAAACTTCGCAGAATGAAGTGGTTCTGGGTTTCCTTTGATGATAGGAGAGGCCAGCGAGTGCCAAGTCTGGAGCCAGACTGCTGGGTCTCAATCCCAATTCTGCCAGTTACCTGCTGTGGGAAGGGTTGCTTTGCCTCTCCAGGTCTCAGTTTCTGCATCTGTAAAATGGAGCTAAATCCTTCCTAGAGTTCTTGCGAGGATGAAATGAGTTACACCATGCATTTTTTGTTTAGTGAGGATGAGAATGAAGAAAATAATGTACATAATTTCAGGATGTTCCTCACATGTACCTAACATTTCTGTTGTAGTTCCCAAATGATTAGAAATGTTTATTCTAAAGTGGTAGCTTATCTAGGTTGAAGATTCCAAAAGTGCTACTCATTGAGAAGTGACCATACCATGGGAATCTTTTTTTTTTTAAACCATGCTCAGTGCTTTCTCATTTGTACCCGTGTCTCTTCTCCCCAGAGTGGTTCTTAAGCATTCTGTTCTTCCATACAGACTGTTCATTCCTCCCCAGGGGGAGGGTGCAGAAGGGTGCATTACCACAGCTTCAGCTGCTCGTCCCTGCTCTCCACAGCTAGATCATTGTCCGGGCCTTGAGCTCTGTCATTCGGGCATGTATGTGAGCACACACAGACACACGCACATACACAGCTAGATGGGAACTATCCAGGGTGTTTCTAGGCCAGCCTGCCTGTTGTTTCTGAAGCCACATGGCCTGCATATGGGCAGAACTGCACCGAAGGAAAGGAAGGTGCTTGATTGCATCTCTGGTTCCGGCCAGGTCACGTGGAGTGCTGTGTACACTAAGGCCGTGCTCTGGGGTCCTAATTATGTGGGACTGTGGCAAGCACAAGTGACTTCAGTGCTTGGTTTGATCCAGTGTGCGATGTTGCCAAAGCAAATACTTTATTAATCTTAACCCCCCAAATTAGACACATTGACTTTGTCTAAAAATGGGAATAATTGGAGTGTATTGTGGGTTTTTTTTACCCCCCCCGCCCCCCCAAGACTAGGCTGCGCATTCCTCCCCTTCCGTGGAGAAGGTGGTTTCTGTTGCTGTCTGCCTCCTGCTCTCACATTCCTGAGACTGGCGATAGACGCTCTTTCTCTGAAGGGGTGTGTGTGTGCTTTCCCAAGAGGAGGTTCCACTTCTTCCTGCTTCAAGGACAAAAGGATTTGCTATCCCGATAGAAATTTCCTAACTGGGGACTCTTCCTGGTTCCTTGGAATTCTGATCCATAGCGTGTGTGGGGAAAACTGTAGAGTGACTTCCCGTAGTGACCTTAAGTGTATCTTGGAGGCTCAGCCAGAATTTCTCGTGTGGCATTTGAGGGAGCAAGTGAGCGAGGGAGGTCAGCAGGGCTTCCCCCTCAACGCCCTGTATCTCTCCTCAGAGTGTCTTGGGCAAAGGGCATACTCGCAGGGTAGGATGAGTCTGGCATAGAAAGTGAGCTTGTTCTTATCTAGTCTAAACTAGAAAAAAAAAAATGTCTCAAAACAAGCAACCTCACCTCAGAAAACAAATCTTAGTTAACCTTCCCTCCTTCTCTTCACTTGGCCTCTGCCTTTAAGTCTGCGATGACCTGGTGGGATTTATCAGCTTTGAAGTCCTAAGGTGCTATTTTAATTCTTTTCTTTCCTATTGCAGGTTTTGAGACCGATTTAACTAGATTTTGGAGGGAGCTTATTTTACAGCATTCTTAAGAGCTCGGACAATCTTGAAAGAGTTAAACTCTAATTAGCTCATTCCTAAGGTATTTAATGCCCTTATTAAAACTCAACTGCTCCTTCACTTTTTTCTGTAGTGAATCAGATTTCTTGAGGAGCTGAGCCTTCGCTCCTCAGATCACAGGCTCACATGTTGAAGCTGGCAGTGCTAGAGGCTAGTTCCTATCTGTGTGACAGCATTTTTAATTTAACAGGACCGCCTTTGATGTTCCCAAATATTTATAGGCAGCTTTAGATCATTTCAGTGTGTGCTTTCTTTTTCTTCTCTCTCTCTCTCTTTCTCTCTCTCTCTCTCTCTCTCTCTCTCTCTCTCTCTCTCTCTCTCACTGGAGCAAAAGTTCTTCCTCATGCAACAGCTTTCCTTTTATCCTGTTAGTTTATTTTTGTTTCCTTTGCAGCTTTGGCGAAGGCACTTTGGCTTCACACACACACACACCCTTCTTTTTGCTTCCTTGGTAAAGGCCACCTCTCTGTATCATCCTGCCTGCATGAGATTGCTTAAGGCACTTCTATTTGTCTCTTGACTTTCTTCAGGCTGAGTTTTTTTTTTTTTTTCCTCTTCTGATTTAGCTCAGGAATCTGCTCTTTGGCTGACCTGAAAGCTTTCAGACCAGCATGGTGACCTGGGCAATGTGTGTGAAGGTGTCTCTTTATGGATGGCCAGGCTTCGGTGTCCTACTCTGCTCGCATGTGCTGCCTGGGGCTCAGCAGGTTGTGATGTATAATGCACCTTCAGCAGGTACAGCTGGGGCAGGCCGGTCAGATTAGTCAGAGCCCTCTCCTGATCATTGCAGGCTTGCTCTGTTTGGCTTTGCTGCACTTCTTGGCTAAAAGTAATAGAGAATCAAAAATTTTGGTCTCAGGGATAGGAAAAACAGGGCTGCGATATAAATTTGTTAAACCATTAAGAAAAGAAAACAATTTTGTACCAATCAAAACAAATGCTAAAATAGAGGACGGTGGTTTTTTCAACCTGGGCGCTGGGTAAACATTCTGCTTGTGAAACAATCCAAGTTATCGAACTCTCGGCTGCGGTTACTTACCTGGGCCTGGCAGACAGAAGCTGGGAACATTTCATGTCTTCCTCCATCATTGCTGGCTCTGCCTCCTACCGCATGGAAGCCTTTTAATGCCGAAGGTCACATAAGTGGTTGATGAAATGTTTGGATGAATGAATACTGTGTGTTAGACACTGTCCTTTGGACTTTAAACTGTCTTGCTAGATCCTTAGGATTCTGATTAATAAGAGGTTTATCCTTGTTTTCTTAGATGAGGATACCAGAATGCAGATGGGCTAACACAGCTAGTGAGTGGAGAAGCTGGCCTAGAGCTCATGACTGTGTTTATAGCCTCACTATAAGGTAGTTTGAGGCAGGTAAATCCAATAGCTGTCTGCTAACCTCTTGCATCTAAAAAACCTCTCAAGGCTAAAATCTGTGTGTTGCAATCTGAGAGTTCAGAGCCAACCAGGCTCTTGCCATGTAAGGATCACAGTGGTGGAAAGCATGTCCCTGGAGCGACACAGGCCTGTATTTTCGTCCTAGTTCTGCCACTGCCAGCTTGGTGACCTTGGCCAGGTTACCCAGCCTCTCTGAACCTGTTTCATCATCTATAACATGGAATAGATAGCTCGTACCTCCGAAGGATTGTAAGGATCATGTGAGATAATATATGTAGCATATACAGTAAGTGCTTAATATATGTTAGTATCGGTGGCTGTTGCTGCTACAGTATTGTCACCCTCAAGTTAGTTCATAGTCCTGTGGGAAAGCATCAGGTAAACCAGCCATTAGAACACAATTGGCAGCTGTAGCAGAGAGATGTGCTGGCGCTTAGCAGGGACCCAGGGCAGAGCCATTGGCTTGGATTTTTACATTCTCTCATTCAGCAGATAAGTATTGGGTGCTTACTCTGTGGTGGGCAGAGCCATTGAGTCACTGATTGCTGCAACCCCCACACCCCGCAATTTCTCCTTTCCCTTCTTGGGGGAATTTGAGCTAAAATGTTAATTGCTACCTGGAGAAAGATTTCCTGCAGTCATTTTCACTTAAAACCCCAAGGTGCCAAATGGCACAGCCACACTCCATTTGACAATTTATCTTGTACAGCCCTGTGTATCCTTCATCTATTATTTTAATCTTATCTAATTTCCTCTAATTTTTCTGATCTTCTCAACATGAGAACTTTACGGTCCTTGAGAATTTACAAGCAACTCCGAGGGAGCAGGTGGTGACCACTTTGTCCCCCGCGGTAACCAGATGGTGTCCGTGCCTTCTCGTGGTCTGGTTCCATGGAGATTTGTTGATAAGATTTTGCTTTGATTTGGTTTTCCAGCCCAGCACTATATTCAGATTTGATTACTGGTGCTGTAGCTTTTTTCTTTGCAAAGTTTCATTGTCTCCGTCATTGGCTATCTTGAAAGGTAAGTCCCGTTTTCCACACACCCCACAGCTTTGCAAGTGGGGGGGAGGGGGGATATTTGTGTGGTAGAACTTTTTCTCTGCCCACAGCGCATGGTCATCATACTTCCACTTGTTGAGTTGATTGATAACATTTAATCTAGAACAAAAGGTGGAATTGAAAGGCAGTTGCTTTTGTCTTTGTACATGTAAGAACCCAAATAAGCCTTTTTCTAAAATAGATTTAGGGTCATTTCCATGTCTTCCCTCTGAGTTAGCTTTCAGTGGAAAATGGGTGTTTTCTGAATGCTAAAATGATGCTCCTAATTACTTTTGAACTGTGAAAATAATTTTTGATTTGACTAGTTGGAGGGACACTGGGGTGGGTCTTTGATACTCAACTTTGTTATCCGCACTTTCTTTAAATAGCATGTTTAACTTTGCATCAAAAGTAGCTTCTGTTCAGTTAAAACAACTCATCGAAAAGAAGGTTCAGAAGAAGGCTAAGTGACAGAACACAGCATGGGATGGAATTGGCTGCGAGTCATCTCCACAGAGTTAATTGGGAATGAAGCGAAGCCCAGCTTTTCTTCCAAAGAACCCTCAACAACTCTCTAAGTTAACTTACCTTCTCCTGGGCATCTTGGTGGCTTTCTTTTGTCCTTGGTGAATGGTGCACCCAGCCATGCTGTGGAGAAGGCAGTGACGTTTGGGGATACGTCTTGAACTAGCATTGGGTAGTGTGCAAGTCTCTTTGGGAAGGGATATGTGGTAGTCACTTATAAGTAACATTTGGACAAAAAGTCCAAGAGGGTCCACTGGGGCCTGTGTGTGGTGATGTTTGCATTTTCTGATAATCCTTATGGAGCATCAGTTTGTCCCATATCACATGGGCTTATGTCCACCCCTCTCCTTCTGGCTGTCAAAATTAGGAACAGAAGCAAAATTCATTCTTCACTGGCTCTCTTTCTCCAGGCTTAGCTGCATTGCAGTGGGTGTAGTGAGTTGGATGCGATTTTGTTTTTGCTGAAGAAAGGGAAAGCCTGCATTGACCTGTGCTTTCAGTTTGGGTTTTATAAGTTAGTGATTAGTTTTGTCTGGGTGGGGAACAAACATGAAGCCAACGGTCTAGTAGAGACCACTGGGCCCCAGATGAGAGCCTAGTGTCTCAGCAGGGTATTTTAGGCACACTTGTCTTAAGCTTTTTTGATTTTGAACCACTTTCCAAAGCCCTTCCTGGTCTTTTTGTTGCCACCTATGGGAAACTTGCTCTGTAGGAATGGACAGCAACTTGCACTGGCAGCTTTTAAACATGGGCCTTCCCTAGGGGCTTTGTGTTGGGCTTGTTTACTAATGAATGCTACTGTGGCCTCTACCTTTAGACCAGGATGATTTTCACTGGATTTATTTTCTCAGAAGATAATCAAACCAAAGCTTGCCCTTGCTGATTTAGAATGATTATGCAAATCAGGTGTATATGCTTGTGTTCCTAGAAATATAGTCCACCGACAAGCAGAAAGAACCTTCTTTTAGCCTGCATACTTTCTTTATTTACACTATGAATTTGATGAAATCTGATTTGTATCTGGGAGCCTCAATTCTCCATTAGATTTTGGATTTGGAAGTTAGTAAGAAAAAAAGCTAGATATCTTAATACTTCTCCTTCTTGGATGTAAGCAACATCCTATCTTGTTACTGTATTCTTGGGTAGAAGGTGAGGAGGTGCGCAACAGGCTTTGGATATTTCAAGGTATGTCTGGGCACTCTGCTTTCTGAGCTGCAGCCTTACCGCTGTCTTTTCCTGGAGGGGGTGATGGGTGTGGGGCTTGATACTTTCTGGATGGTGCTTGTGGATTCACTGCCAGCCTCCTCCTGGCATTTGTCAGGGGTGGGCTTATGGGCCAGTGGGAAAGACAGGCTGTGTCTCTGAGATGGTGACAGCGTACCATGCACAGGCTGAGTGCCGCACACCTGGGGCCCAGAGAAAGCGTCTAGAAATTAGAGAAAGGTCGTGGAGGGGGGTGGGCCTCCAGCTGGGTTCTTAAGTAAGATTGGTGCTTGGATTTGCCATTGCTGCCTCTTGCTATGGGAAAGGCATTTTTTACTGAGACCCAGGCTGGATTGGCACCCAGTGGGGCTTTTCCTAGCTAGTGTAGATCCAGAGGCCATGTGGGATGGAATGTGCTCATGGCAGGGTAGGGAGAGGGGTGGGGGTGAGGCTGAGTGAGGCATGACCAGGATACAGGAAACCTGATCTGCTCTGTACTCTATCATTTAAGTGGGACCTGAGGAGAGTCAGCCTTTCTGAGCCTCAGTCTCCCCATCTGTAAACTGGGCATGGGGACTGGGTGACATTCTTGGAGGGAGTAGGAGGGATCTGCAGCTGGGCTGCTGAAAGGTGTCTGGGGACAGGAGCAGGAATGGGGAGAAAGCGCCATAACTGGGGAATCAGGGAGGGAGATGGACTTCAGAGGGCAAGTAGGGGATGGGTGGGAGTGGCTTGCAATGCTGGGAAGGGGGTTTGACTTTTATCACAGAGACCAGTCGATGCCACAGCCAGAACGTAGATGATGTCTATATACGTGGCCATATTTTTGATGGCACGACTCCCTCCTGCCCCGCATTCTCCAGCAACACCGTGTGTAATTACAGCAGTCACTGCGTAGGTCAGGGGGATCATTCGGGGGCTGTTCCCCAGCAGTCACTCCTCTCTGGAGAGCAGCCTGGAATGTAAGGGAGTAAGTGATGTTGTAGTGACAACCTTGAGTTCACTTTATTAAAGATAAATAAATCACACGCCAGCTTTGGCCTTTAACTGTTATTAGTAACAAATTGGTCTCCACCTATACGCTTGACCATTTACGACACAGGGGAAAATTGCTGTTGTGGCATTTGACCTTGGTTAACACTTTACTGAGCGTTTTTAAAAAATATATCATGAGTGTGTAGAAACTTCTGGAGAGCAATTCATCAGCCGCCTTTCAAGTTCTGTCCATAACTCTTCAGTTTGGGCTGCATCTTTTGACTGCCCTGGGTGTCAGAAGGGAGATTGGACATGTGCCTGTCTTCAGCCAGGTCCGTTAGGATTAGGCAACAGAGTGATAGGCTGGTTTGGACATTTTTCTGGTTATTGACAGGCCTTACTGTGGCTTCTCCCGAATGAATGAGGAATATATTTTTCTAAATCCAGCCAGTGAGCCACACTGGGATAAACTCTGTTTGTTTACAAATTATGTAAGAGAAGGGCCCCGCCATTAAAGTCTTCTGAGCCAGAATTCCTACCCCCCTTCAAAGTTGTAATCAAACTAAACAAACACTTTCCACAGGAACTAACTCCCTCCCGAGAAACAGGAGCAGATGCTCCTGGGAGGCCTTCAGCAACTTTGGAATGTTTAAAGTAGAAATATGTAACCAAGGTGAAGTTGTTCCAGAAACATTGCTTGCTCTAGCCAGAACCAAAGCACGTGTCAGCTTTTTTATTTAGGGCAAGAGGTGCAGAATGGACTGGGCCAGTCCAGGCGGAATTTTCTGTAGAATGTTTAATATTTGGTTTGTGTCTTACCCTGTTTTTATTTATTTTTTGAGACAGAGTCTCGTTTTGTTGCCCAGGCTAGAGTGAGTGCCATGGAGTCAGCCTATCTCACAGCAACCTCAGACTCCTGGGCTCAAGCAATCCTCCTGCCTCAGCCTCCTGAGTAGTTGGGACTACAGGCCTGTGCCACCCGGCTAATTTTTTCTATATATATTAGTTGGCCAATTAATTTCTTTCTATTTATAGTAGAGATGGGGTCTTGCTCTTGCTCAGGCTGGTTTCGAACTCCTGACCTCAAACAATCCGCCCACCTTGGCCTCCCAGAGTGCTAGGATTATAGGCGTGAGCTACCGTGCCCGGCCTTACCCTGCTTTTCATCTCCTTGTGACCTTTATTCCTTTCTGTTTAAGTAATTTCCTTTTTATTCTTCTTTTTTTTTAGTTTGATACCTCTTATCTTTTAGCTATGCTGGAGTACATCTGAGGATCAGGATCAAGGAGCTGCCTTTTTTTTTTGAGACAAGGTCTCGCTCTGTTGCCTGGGCTAGAGTGCTGTGGCATCAGCCTAGGTCACAGCAGCCTCACACTCCTGGGCTCAAGTGATCCTCCTGCCTCAGTGTCCTGAGGAGCTGGGACTACAGGCACATGCCACCATGCCTGGCTAATTTTAGTAGAGATGGGGTCTCTCTTGCTCAGGCTGGTCTCAAACTTCTGAGCGCAAGCAATCCCCCCACCTCGGCCTCCCAGAGTGCTAGGATTACAGGCATGAGCCACCGCGCCCAGCCTAAGGAGCCTTCTTCTTAACCAAAGTACTCAATTATTGCTTCTCTGTCTCTGGGAAAGATGTCAGCTGCAGCACAAACACTCCAGGGGAGGGCTTATCTTACCTTGTTATTGTCTAAGTAAGATTGGGACACTTTCTGCTCCTTAGTTCTTTTTGGGATCCACAGTGGCCATCTAGGCTCAGGGACAGTTTACCAGCTCTTGCCGATTTGAGTCTTCACTGAGTAGCTTGACTTATTTTGGCTTGGGAAGTTGTCGGTGTTTAAGGACATCAGGTACACTTGTATTAAAATAGATGTATACTTAATAAAGCCAAATGCACATTTCTCTGGAGTGTGCCTCAAGATGAGCTTTTCTCAAGGCTTCATCTGAAGAACACCTGTCTTGCAGAATGCGTCATTGTGAAAGGGTTTCATGGGGCACTAACTTTGAGACATGCTGTTTATCATCATTTCCTTTTGGAGATATATACTGCACAGTGGTGAATTAATGGCTCTGAGAAATCCTACTAAAAAGAAATCTACTTTCATTCTATTTAATCTGGTACTTCCCAAATATACTTGATTATAGAATTCCTTTTCTGAAAGAATCCAAGGTACTAAGGGATATTCGGTTCCAGGTAGCTGGTATTAGGTTGGTTTAGGGTCTGTGCTTGTTCAGTTGGTATCTCGTTGGATTATGAGTATGGACGGCCAAGACCATATTAACTGCCAACTAGAGTGGCCTGAACTCCTTTAATAGTGATAGGACTGTTTCTTTAGAAGATTTGTAGTCTTTATAACTGGGTAATGGGGTGTAGGCATTTGTAGTATAAAAGAACTAAGAAACAGTGCCTCTCTTTGAGGAATTTGATTTCTACTGGAGTGGGAAGATTCATGAAAGAGTCACACAGTTATACTGTCCAATGGGTATGAAATAGTATCAAAGTGAGTGCTGCTCCACCTTCAAGTGGCTTGTCCTGTAGGCATTTTGGGGGGTTGGGGCAGCAGGAGGCAGCCTTTTGTGATCTGACTTATGAAGCTGTGGGGGACTGTGAGGGAAGGTAAGATAGAGGGGTGTCCCCCCAGTCCTAAATGCCTTTTCCTTGGCCCTGGCCCTGCCCCTGCATTTAACACATATACTTGTGTAAAAATCTTAGGATCCCTCCTCTCTCCAAGTGGGTGTTTTAGAGTTAGATGAAATGAAATGCTTAGAAAGCCTTCTGGAAGTACAACTCCCTCTGCTGGTGAGCATCCTGGATTTGGGCATGGGCATCCTCCCTAACTCCGACTCTTAAGCTGTGAGTTTGGCTGCCTAGTTTTGGGGGCCTGCCGAGTTTAGTTGAGTGGACATACATTTTCCAGGTTTGTCTACTTTGGTTAATGCATGAAAGAGTAAAAATGCTTTGCTGACTCTAGTTACCCTTGGGAAGGATGTGTGCCATGAACAGACTGAGATGTCCTCCCTTTGAGGTGCTAGGAGGAAAATGAGATGAGGAGTTTAAATTCTTCTCTATGTGTCATATTTCACAGAGTGTTGACTTAGGGCTTTTTTTCCCCTTCACTTTTTAAATTGGGGTTGACCTACCTGATGGATGTTATTAGCAGTTGATCTCTCCCTAGCCTGGGGCATTCAGCCTTTTGCCTCAGTAGCTTTTGATGAGGCCCCAGGCTCTGCTATTGCATTAATGGTGAGCTGAGCCTGCCTTTTTATCGACCCTCATAGCCATTGGGCATTGAGGAGGCATTCTCTTCTTGTAGAATACTGATTGTCAGAAAGTTCTTCCTTCCACTGAACCAAACTTCTGCTCCTCAGTTCTGATTCCGTCTTTTAGAGCATATTAAGTGTCCTAGCACTGCCATAACAAAGTACCACAGACTAGGTGGCTAGTTGTGGGTGCTATACGTCTGGGATCAAGGTGATGGCAGGTTGATTTCTTCTGAGCTGTCTCTCCTTGGCTTATAAGATGGTGGTCTTTGCTCTGTAATTATCTGTCCAAATTTCCTTCTTATAGGGACACCAGTCATATTGAATTAGAGCGTATCCTAATGACTTTGTTTTAACTTGGTAACATCTTTGAAGACCCTATGTCCAAGGAGTCAACATTCTGACTGGTTGTTAGGACTTTAATATCAATTTTAGGGAGGTGCAACTCACCCCATAACATAGAGCCACTAAGAGGTGATGGTCCTTCAGACCTTCAGATTTTTGAAGGTGGTTATCTTCTGTCACTCCCTCCTGCCCCTGGCCCACCAATAAAACCAATGAAATTGTTTTCTCCTTGCCAGGTACCCCCCAGTTCTTTCCATTGTTCTACATGTGAGATATACATACTCCCCATCTTGGAGTCTGTACTTGCTTCAGTTTAGGAGGAACAAAGTGGATAACCCTGGACCACTTGCGATATTCCAGATAGAATTTGTTCTATTGTTTGCCTGAGCAAACAATCATGATGATTTCTGAAAAATTTAAAAAGGCTCAAAATTGGCCTGCAAAGTAGCAACTTTAATATATTCATCTTGAATTTTGCCTGAATAGATCTGACCTTTGACACATGCACATGTGCACCACCCTGTCCCATGAGTCCAGTGCGAACTATAAGTTTTCATTTGACTCAGGCACTTATGTTTAGAGTTAAGTGTGAAGATCTAAGTTTGTTCGCCACTTCTCCCTTCCTCCTAGTTCTTCACTTTTAGGAAATTCAGTGGGGAATAGTTCTTTTAAAGAACAAATGAATGTAGAGATTTTTGTTTTTTAATTGTAACTGCTGTCTGGAGAGCCTAGAAGTAATTCAGTCACTTGAGCATAACTCATTTTAGGTACATAGTCTCATGCCAAGCTGTAGTGTAATTAGACTTAAAATTATAAAGTGCCCTCTTCACTTTTGGAAATTGTTTCCTTTTTATTGCCCTTGTCCACTAGAAATTAAGTGTCAAAAAAGTTCATCTACTTTTTTTTTTTGCGTTTTTAGCCCTTAATAGAATGAAGTTCAAAAAGTTTGCTGAATGACTAAATGAATCTTCTTAATCACCTTGTGCTTATTTAATCAGGAGTGTCCTGTTGTATCGTAGAGGCCTACATGCAATAGAAATGGCAGCTTGGGGTTTAGGGCTTATTCTAGCAGCGATTCCCTTTTGCTTTTGAATCGTCGAGCTTCCCACGAAGAGACTGTCAGTGCTGTTCACTCTTCTTCTAAATTGTGCTTTGTAAATCCTGATTGATAGTTTTGACAGCCTCTCTCCCTTTACTGTAGTCTCTTTAGATGGAGTGTGACACTGCTGAAGTTCCTTTCTTTGAAGATGCTTTGACTACACCGCCCAGTATTTCCAAATTGTAGCCCTTAGATACCCAGAGCCCTGGCCCCACACAGCTGTTAGGTCCCCTCTGTTCTGGAGGCCTGACAACATTAAAAACACCAACTATTTATAGCATACTTTTCAGTGTCAGTAAATTACAGGATGCCCTTGCCAGTGGGATGGGCAAATGCTCATCTGCCTGCGCTATGTGATTGCCTAGAAGCATCAGCCAGGTGGCAGTTGCTAAGCCCCACCTGAGTGCTTCCAGGGCCTCACCTGGCACTCCTGCAGGAAGCCAAGGCCTGCTGGGGTGCTGTGGGGTTCTGGTGGAGTCCATGTCCTTTGTGATGGAGTGGTTGGGCATTAAAAAACTCTAACAAGGACAGGTGTGGTGGCTCACGCCTGTAATCCTAGCACTCTGGGAGGCCGAGGCGGGGCGGATTGCTCAAGGTCAGGAGTTCGAAACCAGCCTGATCAAGAGCAAAACCCCTCCTCTACTATAAATAGAAAGAAATTAATTGGCCAACTAATATATATATAAAAAAAATTAGCCGGGCATGGTGGCGCATGCCTGTAGTCCCAGCTACTCGGGAGGCTGAGGCAGAAGGATTGCTTGAGCCCAGGAGTTTGAGGTTGCTGTGAGCTAGGCTGATGCCACGGCACTCACTCTAGCCTGGGCAACAAAGCGAGACTGTGTCTCAAAAAAACCAAAAAACTCAAACAACATCGAGGTGTCTGTGCTCTTGAGAGAAGCCCATGCTGATCTAGCTGCCAGCTCCCCAGGCAGCTGAGTTTTCAGCAATCAGTGCAGAGAAGTTTGCTAAGTCTTAGGTCATGGGTGAACTGGGGAGCATCCTGGGCAATGTCCATTTAATCTTAGCCAGGAAGGATTCCCCCAAATTTCAGCAAGGTAACTGAAGAATGTTGAATCTAAATTTAGGTACGGTATGATCTCTGCAGGGTGAAGAATTTGAAGGTATTTAAAGCTCTTAAAAAGGCCTGATAGGGCCTAGGGTCTTAATCTTCCCTCAGCTGCCCCTTGGAAGAGATCTCTTGCTGCCATTCAGAGTCCATGGTGAGGGGAGGCCCCTCCACAGGTGCTGTTCAGGAAGCTTAGCGGCCACAACGCCGCTGAGGCCATGCTCTCCCCCCCCACCCCACCAAGCCAAGTTGGACTTTTGGGGGCAGGTTTTGTTGTGGTAGCTTTTGGGTTCTTCAGTTATTTGCATGGTTCTGGGGAGGGATCAGAGAGCAGCACTAAAGAGGCCTGTTCTGTTAGCTGGAGTTTCCATTGAAGTGCTAACTGCTGAATCCTTTGAACCTCGAGCCTGGGAGGGTATTTATAACTCGCTGTTTGCGTGCTCCGAGGAACTGAGACCCTGCCTTTCTACAGCGGTGTAAGAGCCGTGCCCTTGGTGTGGGCTGAAAGGGCAGGTCTGGTGAAGTGTAGGGACTCATGCCTGGCTCCCCACAACCCTGTTCTCCTTCCCCCTGCCCTGCCCAGCCAGCAGCCCTTTCAGGGTTAACTTCTCTGCTTTGGAAGCAGCTGGCCAGTTTACACTCCTCCCTGGGCTGTACAAAAATACTTCCTTTGAAGTGTTGGGAGAAGCGGTGAAGGGTAAAACCTGGTGGAGAATAAAAACCTGGAGTGGGGCTTGAATGCACTTCTCTTCCAGGGGGTTTGCTGAGAGACAGAGCCCCTGGCCCTTGTCCTACGTCCTAACTTACACGGCTAGATGGTTCTTCTCACATAGTTTATGGTGTGGGAGGAGGGGGAAGAGAGAGAGAGTGAGAGAGACTCCAAGGAAGGATTATTTCTCAACTAGAGAGAGTTAGAATGCAGCCACTGAGCTTGCCTTGGTGGTAGGAATCCCTTTGAAGGCACTTCTGCCCGGGGCTGCTCCCAGGGGGTGGGGGTGGGGGTGGGGGTGGGATGGGGATGGTATCCTGGGGTACGTGTGAAGCTGAAGTGTTTCCACTTGGTCCTAAAGCAGCCTTCCCTTTTCTTTCCCTACTTGGGTAGGAAAGTTGCCACTGATCCCTTCCCTGATTCAGTTCAAAGCACAGCAGCCCCAAAGAGCACTGGGCTCAGAGTCAGCAGCTCTGACTTCTCTAAACTGTGGTGTCCCTGTTGGCAAAGTGGGGCTGGTGGAAATACAGGGTTGGGGGCACTTTGAGAAAGTGCAAGACACTTCTCTAGTGTAGGGCTGCTGTTGAGCAGAAATGGCATTTAGGATAAAGGGGCCAAAGAGAAGAATGCCAGAGCAGAAGTGAGACGGAACAAAGCTTGAATGTCTTCTTAATCCTTGAGTATTTGCAGCAGAGGAGGGGTTGGGGCGAGATGGGAGGAGAGGCAGCTGTTATTTTCTAGAGAAGAATGCCAACCTGTTTCTCCCCGCAGATGGGGCCACACAAGTTCTTTCTGAACTGGGGTTTATAGTCCCTTCTTCCCTGGAAAATGCCCTCATATGGATTTCTTACATCTTATTATACTACTTCCCATCTCTCTTAGACAAGGGGTGAGGTCCACAGATTTAAAATAATACCATATGGCTAACATTTATTGCTGGCGTTTGCCAGACACTGTTTCAAGCACCCAACATGAATGATCTCATTTATTCCTAACATCCCTATGCTGTTAACTGCTCTTATCCCATTGTATAGATGAGGAAACTGAGGCTGGAAAAAGTGAAATAACTTACTCAAGGTCCCATTACCTGCTGATACAAGTATGGAAATTACAGGCCCAGTCAAGCTGACTTTAGACCCTTTGCTCTTAATAGATATAAATTACAGTACGTGATGGGGGGGAGGGTGATATTTAATTCTGTGTCCCAAACCTGGGCAGAAACTGTTTTTAGGGAAAGAAGTGAAACTTGAACTCTGATCATTCTGGCAGTTTTGACCCCTGTTGTGTTCATCAGTTCACTCTTATTGAGCAGTTATATTTGAATAAGCAAATGCTTTTTGCCTTGTGGTTTCTGAAAAGGAACTTTTCTGATTTGTCTGTGTTGTCTTTATAACACCCATGCTCTTTTCCTATCATTGCGAAGGAGGGAAGGTGGTTGCCCAGCTCTGTAACTGCAGCTTTCTCCCAGTCGAAGGTCTTGGTGTTGGGTTTTGATGTGTAGCTGGTACCTCTAGGAATCCTTAGCTGTAGGCTTTGGTCTTTTCCCAGCCTAGAACCTGATGCGACACTTCCTTCAAGTGGCTTGAGATCCTGTCCCTGACCTTCAGCTCACAGGGGTAAGCTGAGGCCTGAGAAGATTTGAGTGATTTGTGCCCCCACCCCCAGTCACACATGGGGCCGGACCTAGGGCTGGGTCAGCAGGTTCCCAGCCCACTGGCCACATGCTTTTCCTTTTCACCTGAATTTCAAACAGGAGGGAAGATGAAAGGAATAGAAATGACCAGTCAGAGGAGTAGGAGGGCTCTCATTTGCAGTTTCTTTTGATCTTCACCCCTTTGTTTAAAAAAAAAAAAAAAAAAACAACCCACCAAACCGCAACTGAGAGCCTGAGCATGCTGTTCCCCCAGCTCACTGAGGAGCAGGCATTTCTCTTTTAAGTGAGAAGCCACCGACCCCCAGTGGTCTGTTTCATTTAGGGCCCCCCCACTCCCCTTCTGCTACTGGGCTGCCAGATGTCATGCTCCTCTTCACAGATCTTTCGGAGCTTTCTGCAGCGTATAGGGTGGAGTATAACCCTGCCCTACTCCAATATCCTAGGCATTTTGCTCCAGAACCGTCTTTGCAATTTAGTATCCTGCTGTAGAACCCCTCGCCCCGTAGTCCAGTGACTCCTCCAAACAGGCTTGGGCCTTGTTTGCATCTTCGCCCACATTCTGCCTGTCTTCCAAGGATGCTGCCTCCAGGAAGCTCTCTTGGACTGTTGCAGCACCAGTTGTCTCTGCTGCCTCTGAACTTGAAAGAACCTGGTCTGGCCACTCATTTGGCACTTAATGATATATTATTTTGTGTTGTTTAATTTGTAGGTGTGTCTGTCTCCCCAACTAGATTGC